TCTTTCCCTCAGGGTCTCGGAGCGGACAGCAGGTCAAATAGCAGTCACAGTGGGGGAGAGGTATGCAGCAAACAGAAAATAATGAGGAAAACATTGACTTTGCTTTTCAGATAGTAAGGAAGAGTTGGGTAAGAGACTTTCTTCTCTTGTGAGTGTTGCGAGATAGAATGCTCTCCGTCCAGTGAGCTACTTGCAGATTTGGATGGATACATTTGAAGACTTTTTTTTTAATAGAAAGGCTCCTGTGGAATGCCTGCTGAGGTCTACTGTCCCTTTTCACATAAGGTTAGTATTGGGTAATCTTGAAGTGCTGCAAATGTCGACAAGCTTTGTTGAAGCCTAAGGCCTTCTCAAAGGAATTTCCGCCCTTTGACTTATTTTAATTTTGGTTTTCCCTGCTCTCTCCACTGCCTCCTGCTTTCCACTGCACAATTACTTTTTTTCCTTCTGTTTTCCTATGTCATTACTGCACTTTTCAGTGCCACCATCTTGAAGCCAGATGTCATACAAAGAGTCTGGAGTAAATCAAAATTGGAGCATATATTTATTATCCTGCTGGAGGAATCTAGGTGAAGCTGTAGGAGCAGGTCACAGAAGTTTCATATGAAATTAGTTTTACTTGCTCCAATCTCTGAAGATGTAGAAGATCCCTTATTATCCTTTTTTTTCCAGGAGATTGCTGCTGGTTTAAAATTTGAATGATAGGGAAATTGTTTGCCCTTTTGGGAGATATGTTCTCCTGACAAAAAGACCCTATTTAAATGGAAGGATTTTTCAGTTCCAGGTGTTTTCAGACGCTGGTGTTTATACAAAATAATTTTCAGAATTAGCAAGACAGGGCAGGGAGAGGAGAGGAGGAGTCCTTTGTAAGTGAAGCTGATTCCTCATGTTCAATATTTGATTTTGGTTTTGATGAGAAAAAAAAAATCGTGTTCCCTCATGCACCCTTGTTGAACTTTTAAAAGGTCCTTCCAGCCATATCCATGCTGATGGCATGTTTTTAGCAGGATGAAGAAAAGGAGTGAGCCCTGAAAGTGAAAACTATACCCTACCTACTCATCTGTTGCTCTGTTGTGGTTAAAAAGTGACGGAGTCCATCCCTATAGTGCTTCTAGAACTTCACAGAAACTGCCTGGGCAAGTGATTCTGATGTTTGCAAAGAGAACTTTGTACTTTTATGTAATGTGTTAATTAGTGTGGGTGGATATGATCAGATCTAGTCTTGCAAGCCTTTCAGACAACTCCCTGAACACTCCCACCTTCAGATATTAACAGATAGCACTGCACTTGCCAAATCTCATAAAAACCTGGTAACAGACTTAATGCAGGCAGAGCCTAAGTGGGTGCATTTATTTCAAAGAGAACACATCTGTTTGTAGCAGCCATTAATTTGGCCGAGTGTTTTCCTCTAGCTGAAATGCAACTGTTGAGAAAAGAATACAGGGTGACCTTGGATCATCTATTTTGGTTTTGTTTCTTCCTGTGGCTTTAATAAACTCAGTTTGGGTAACAGCCACTTTTTTGACAGCACTTGTTCATAAGTTTGGGGGTAAGGCAAAATTATGTCAAATGTAATCTTTTGCATTTTTCACCAGACAACCAACAGCCCTGAGAATCAGAAAATTCTGCACTGTCTTTGTAGCTCTCACCTCCCTGAGGCTAAGATCCTTCAACCTGGTATTGCTTCTCAGCCTGCTGCAGTTTGGAGACTGAGCGAAAGCTGTCAGTCACAAGCAGCAGTTCCATTCTCTGTTGAACAGAATCCTCTTTGTTAGAGTGCTTTTCTGCAGGAGATTTTGAGATGTGAATAGTGGCAGGCACCTCTCACAGATTTCAGCAACTAACTTAAAGACATGAAGAAAACCAGAACTTCACCTTCTGCCAGCTACTCATTCTCTTTTATCCAGTGTCTCCTATGGGAAGCTGGCAATTCAGACGCTTTTCTGACTGATAAACTGCCCCTCTTCCCACCCTCTGTTCTACTAAGATTGCCTCAGTACCTTCCTTCAGTACCTTCAGGGAGCTGACAGCTTCAACAAAAACAACCCTTTTGGTATTCTTGAGGAGAGTCAGATCAGCAAAGCAACATGTTAGAGAGAAGACCAGACTCTCTTTTGATGGGGCTGAGGTGCCTCAGCCTGTGGACTACAGATGGAAGACACAGGACACAACTTGAATGTTGCCAGTACCACAGAAGGTAGTGAGTTCCCCCTGCTCCTGTCATCTTTTCTTGAACGGTAACATCCTCTTTTGCTTCTGTAACAGATTCCTCCGGGTGAGGCTTGAGCAGAAACGCATACTGATCCAGCCCGTGTGGACTGGATACAACTGAAAAGCATAGACCTTCCCAAAAAGTCCAAACTTAGTTCCTTATGCTCACCTTTGCTATGGGCATCGTGGCATATTAACACAGAAAAAAAAAAAAAAAGGCAAATGTATATGCTTATTTTTCTGCATAAATCTAGAACAGTTCCTCCTTAAATGCAGGAAGAAAGCACTCTAATTTGAGCTTAAGAGTGACCAAAGAGTAAGTATATGAGAAAACAAAAGAGAGGATAGGTGCAATCTTAGGTGGTGACCCTAAACAGACAGAGGCGAGACACCACCTTATATTCCTGAAGTTACATAATGAGAGGCACGTGATTTCCATCCAAATACAAAGCCTATAAAAGAAGCGTGTTGTTACTCCTGCTCGTTCCTATGGGTCACCATGCCCTAAAAAGCAGTCCATTAACTTTGTAGCTTGCTGGCTAAGAACACTCCAATGTGACAGTTACTGTTTGCTGTCTCTTGGTTTTTTGAGGAAGGGAAAGCAATCCATATATGTGAAAACAAGGAAGGGTCAGTTTGACTCACTACTCACTTTTTCCTAGCCAGCTGCAAAGGTCATCCATCATGCCTAGGTATTACAAGAACATGTGGTTCTCTGCCTTGTGTTAGAAATCATCCTGACCTAGTACCACTAGGTAGATGTGGTTCAGTTTCCTGTTTTTTTCTTACGCAAAAGCATTTTTTTTTATTGGAACTTTATTTATCTGAAAGAGTTGCCTCTGTATTGTACAGGCTTTTCACAGACAGGCATCCTAGGCATGAAATTTCCCTATGTTAATCAAATAATAATGAAAAAAATACAAAAGTGAAAAGTTGCTGTTTGACATCCTCCCCAAGCAATGTGGAGTTAATGAGGAGGAACACTGGGAACATCAATGCCTTAAATCTAGACATCTCAGGAGCCTTCTGGCTTCTGTATGAAAATGGCCCTGGCTTCCAAAGTTGACTTCCTACCGGTCTTCTGAGGCAGTTTGCCCCTGAGATCGCTTACCTCAGCAAATCACTATTACAGTGCACTAGTACAGAGGAAG